TGGCTCCCAGCTCTAATGAAAACGGAGGGGTCTCTGGGGGCAGCTGATTTACTTAGGCCTCAGTGCCGAGGGTTGGGGGGCATCTTGCCCCACTCCCCCCGGCTGCATGCGGCCTGGAGCAGCCCCCCTGAACTGGGGGGGAGACGTTCAAACCTGGGGGGAAGGTCTGCCGGGCTGTCAACCCCTTTCTTGCCGGGTGCATCTCTCCCCACAACATCGCCCTCAGCCTCGGGGTGATAGAGGTTCGGTGCCCAGTGCGGGGCAGCCGTGCCGGGTAGGGAGGGGGTGACAGTCATGGGGGACAGAGCCTGTCACTGTGGTCCTGCTGGGCTTGGTGAGTCGAGGGAGATGCCGAAGCTGAAGTTGCTGTGGTGGCCCCGGGCCAGGAACCGGGCTCCGTGCGCGATGCAGCACGTCCAGAGCTGCGAGGACAAGGAGGGTGGCTCAACAGGGCACCAGGGCCACCCGTACCCTGTACCGCTGGGGGTCCTGTCCCCCCACCTGGCCACCCCTCACCACGGTCCCAGCCCTACCAGGTAGGCGATGAAAGCCACATAGGCAGCCAGCACCAGGCCCAGAGGGATGTAGTACCCCAGGCTCTGCAGCGTGGGTAGGAAGTCCACCACGAAGTAAATGTTGATGGCGCAGACCAGCCCTGTGATGAGGGTCATCAGCACCTTCCCCAGGCTGTGGGCACCAGAGAGGGCATCAGCACCGAGCAGAGCCCCCACCCCTCATGCCACCCTCCTCTGGCACCTGACCAGTGCCCCCAGCACATCGCCTGGGGGACCTGGGCCTGTAGGTGAGCAAGATCCCGCATGGGACATCTCTGCGCTCGCCCTAGCCATGCTGCGCCCATACCAGGGCTCTGGGCACAGTTTTGACCACAGACCACATGCATGGCCAGCAGTGTCAAAAGGATGCTGAGGACCCAGGGGTACCCATGGGCAATGCTGGGGGCCAAACGGGGCTCTGGGAAGAGGATGAAGAGGGCAGGGAAAGGGGTCTGTCCTCAGTAAGCCCGTACCCTGGCTGCCCAGGGTGTGCTGGAATCAGCGTTCCTCCCCAAAGTGCCCATGCCCGCGTTAGCTGCCCCCACAGCATGGTTTTGGGAGGAGGATGGGCCAAGAGGAGGGTGTCTCTAGTTGGAGCACCCTGCTCTGTCCCTCTTGTGCCCCCCCCGGCCCCCAGCACTCACGGGCCATTGGTGAAGTCGTTCATGAGCGGGCGCAGGCTGGTGAAGGTGAGGACGGGCAGGACGGCGAAGGGCAGCTGGAAGGAGAGTGGGGTGAGGGGGCACAGTCCCACCTGCGGCCACCGGGCTGGGGCACAGGGGTGGGCAGCGCCTGGACACCCCTTACCAGGATGCTCTGCAGCACGTTGAGCAGGTCGTTCATGCCTGTGAGGTGGCTGACGTCCTTGAAGGCGGCGATGAAGACGGTGGGCAGGATGGCGAAGGAGCGGGTGAAGAGCACCCGGGCGAAACGGGACCAACGGAGCTGCAGGAACCCCTGGGCAGCCGGGGGGAAACTAGGGTGGCAGGGTCTGTCCCCCACATCGGGAACCCCCCCCTCCAGTTCCTACGGCATGGTACAGCCCCTGCGTGCTGGACCCCAGGGAGAACCTCCATGCCCTGCCCACACCAGGGCGCTCAGACCCTGGTGTCAGGAAGGACATGGGGACATCAACAGTGCTGCAGGTGCCCAGGCCTTGCTGAGCAGGCCGTTGCAGGGCTCTGGGGCCCCGCTAGATGTCAGCTCCTGCTCATTAAGCAGATGAATTTATTAATAAAATGCTCCGCAGGGCTCCAGAGGTAACGCGCGGGCATCGGGCATCACTCCATCTCTCACCTCCATGACGAACTGCCCCGCGTAGGTCCCGGTCATGGTGGAGCTCTGTCCCGCTGCCAGGATCCCCACAGCCCAAATGTACAGTGCCACGGCCCCGAAATAACAGCCCAGGATGACACCCTGTGTGGGGACACTCTGATGGCAGGGGGGCCCTGAAGCACCCCCCCAGGTGCTGGGATCCACCCCCAGCAGGGTAACTGTCCTCAGCCTTGGGCTGGGGGGTCACTGCGGGGTCTGGACATGGGCTTCCAGGGGGAATGCTACATCCCCAAAATGGACACCGACACTTGCTGGTCACCAGGCTCAGCCCAGTGCCACTCACCCCCTGGTAGATATCCACAGACACTGTCTGGTTGTTGGTGGGGAAGATGCCGGCGTACTGGCTGACGCTGCTGTTGACACACTTGCTGTGCTGCAAGACACAGCGAGCGCAGGCGAGGTGGCCGCGTGGCATCCCTCACGCACCCCCATCCCGTGGGGACAAGGACAACCACCCTCCTGGCATGGCCAAGGGGTGCTCACCCTGCCCTTCTCCACCCCCAGGCACAGCCACCACCTCCCCTGGGCGTCCCTGGGGTGCTGGACAAGCAGGGCGTCCCCAGAGAAGGTGGCTGTGGCCCTGGGGAGCCAGGCAGGGGTTGGCGCTCACCACATCCTCGTTTCGCTGGTGGTAGAAGGCCTCGCCAAAGACAGCCATGACGAAGAGGTTGATGAGGAAGGAGATGAAGAGGGCCAGGCAGGACTCGGTCAGAAAGTACATGTTGGCCTCCTGCACCTCCTCCTTCTTGGAGCGATCGATCACCCGGGTCTGGGCGCAGCGGGCAAGATAGTCACGGCAGACTCAGGTGGGCGGCCCCTTCTCCGAGCTCTGCAGCCCCCAGGCCACTGGCTTGGTACCCCACTGGGAAGCTGGTCCCCTCCGAGTCCAGCCCCATGAGCCCCTGGGGTGCCGAGCTCCCGCGGCAGGGAGGGAGCGGGGACCCAGGTGGTGCCCCCTGCCCACCTCTCACCTTGACCAAGGAGGAGTGGAGGAAGATGTTGTGGGGCATGATGATGGCACCGACGATGCCCACGGCTTGCAGCAGCTCCTCTCGCCCACAGCCCGGGCAGTAGGGCAGGAAAATCCCCTTTAGCACCTCCTGCTGCGCTGGCTTCACCACCACATACTGGGGGACAGCCGGAAGTGGCACCGGGAGCGGGCTCGTGGCCC